TAAGGTCAGAGGTCATGATTCAACAATAAGAAAGAGAGACTGGGTAAAAATGGCCTCCATGGGAAAGTTCCGAGACATGAACCACTGCTGACCCAAAAGAACACAAAGGCCCGCCTAACATTTTCCCACAAAACATCTTGATGATCCTCAAGAGTTCTGAGAAAATATTCTGTGGACTGATGAGACAAAAGAGGACATGTTTGGGAGGTGATGGTCGTGTTGTATCTGGAGTTAAAGTAACCAGCATTACAAAAGCAGAACATCATACCGACAGTGAAACATAGTGGTGGTAGCGTGATGATGTGGGACTTCAGCATTTGGATGACTTGCTGTGATGGATAGAACCATGAAGTCTGATGAATCCTGCTCTCTAGCACAAACTCCTGAAGGATAATGTCTAGAATGATGAAACTCACTTCAGTTACCCAACAGAACAATGATCCAAAGAACACCAGCAGGTCCATCTCTAAATGGCTCAGAAAAAGGTCAAAGTCTGGACTTTGCTGCAGCTTGACCTCAACCAGGCCGGTCATTCTGGAAACTCTCCATTGTGTCTTAAAACAATTCTGCAAGGCAGAATGGGTCAGCATTCCTCCACAGTGATGTTAAAGACTCATTACCAGTTATCATGAAGCTCTTCTTCTGCTGCTGCTGCTGCTTAGGGAGGAACAACCAGTCATTAGCTTTGTGGAGTGAATACTTTTTAACAAACAGAACCAGGTTGGTTTGGATCAACTGTTTCCCTATAAAATGTACTTGCACAGTTTATCTTTTTTGAAACTAAAAATGTATTTGATGACGTGAAACATTTAATATATATAATATATTTAATATATAGACAGTCTCATCAGTTCCCTGAGCAGAAAAAGAAAATCAACAGGAATTACTCATCCACCGACAAAAACTGCTTTTATTTGCTTCTTTCTGACTTTCTTTAATTATGGTACCATGTTGGAGCTGCTGCCTCCAGGGAGCATTATGATTTGATTTCATGTTGATTTTCAGTAAATACTGTCAGTGGATAACCTTTGTGTTTTGAGGTTTGACTCGTTAACTTTAATAAGGATTAGTTTGGGGGTAAACAGGCAGGATCTGCTGCATGGTGCACTCCGGGAAGTTTGCGGTAACCTTTAAGAGCTGACGTCAGACACTGTTGTGCTCTGTACCCGCTCAGCCGACCACTGCTGTGTGTTGGAGACCAAGTCTCTAATGAGGGTGAACTGAAAGGTTTGTTGCTAGTCTCCATTCGGCCTGCTGACACAGGGGTATGTGTGTGTCCCTGTTATGCTTGGGAAGTCTCCTATACACAATGCAGGACGTCCAATAATGTGGACTGACTCTTTGTCATGTAAGGCGAGCTCGAGAGAGTGTGCATGAAGGGGAGACAGGTGCCACAGGCAACATGAAACCCTGCAGAGAGACAGGGACTAGGGTGTGGAGGGAAGATGACAGCTGGGCTGAAAACAGAACAGAAATTAGAAGTTTTCTTTTGACATTTTGCCTGTCTCATCCAGACTTTCACACTACAAGTAGAGCTGCAGAATCCAGCAAATTAAAATCATAATTTCATCGTCAATGTGTGAAAAATCATAAAGAACTGCATGGATGCAATATCTGGATATTTTTCAGTGCATTCAGAACATATTTGGCCAGCTCGATGGGCTTCCACTGCCCACATCTGATGGGATTTTTGTGACCGAGAAGGAAACAAGTCAGGGTAAAGCCACCATTGTTACCATTATGGTCAATGGGATATTCAACATCAAAATCACAATTACTTGTTTTGCTGGTATTGAGTTGTCCTAATTTAAAGGTTTGTCCATTCAGAATTTCCATACATTTTTCATGTTGAACATCTTAAACTAAACCCGACGTGGATATAACCTCCAGAAAATTCCAGACTGTGTAGGAACATTTCTTCTTATAATTCATAATATTGCCATTTTTACTATTTTACTACATCTGACAAGCTTCATCCTGACTCTTCTCCTGGAAAACTTTAATAGTAAGGTAACATCCACGGTTCCTTCACGGTCTAACTTTAGGTTTAATAATCTTCATTTTGGGTATTAAAAACATTTAAAATTATGTTTAGTTATTAAGTCCTAACTTTATATGTTTTTGCATTTATTACTTCTTCCAACAACTTTTCTTTGACAAATGCACAAACTGTATTAGGTCAGACTGAAATCTGGCTTCGCCGTCCTCAATGTTTTTCTTCCAATTGAGCTAAAACCACAGTTTTCAGAGAGGTTACGAAGGATCAAATGCATTAATCAGGAGAAGGAGACAAAGAATACCAGCATAATATTTATATATACAAGCATGCATACTTTTTAACATTATTCATATCAACTGTATCTCAAGCCTGACTTTGATAGAAATGTCTGCAGGAAACTTTTCACCTGTAACGAAGGACTCTGCTGGTTTGGATCTGGACATTTCTGGAGTTTGGATGTCAGAAATGTTTAGGAACCCTTCATGATTTTTCTTGGATTTGTGCTTTCCTCACTGAGAGAAAACTTCAACTATTAACATGTTGCACCAGGTTTATTAGGGTTAAGGTTAGGTTAACTTACACACCTTTCAGAAACGGTACCAGAGGCTTGGATCAAGAATGAATGGACCGGTTAGAGTCGGACGGGGGGAGAGAGGAGAAAAGCAAAGCGGAGATAAACAAGTAGACAGAGATAGTTTTCACTGCTGGAGTCAGAGACAGCTGCCCTGTGTGTGTGTGTGTGTGTGTGTGTGTGTGTGTGTGTGTGTGAGTGTGTATTGGCATGGCTCCGTTGCATAACAATTCACTGGGTCCCCCCGTGGCTTCCAGGCTAAAGTGGTCTCTGTCTCATCGTGCAGCTGAGTGCAGCTTTATTGGCCCGATATTTCCTGTCCAACTGATAATCTTTGGTCCCTCAGCCGGGATCTCTTTATTGCTGCAGAAGCAGGGAGATAAACTCGTCTGGGAGAACAAGGATGTGGGGAAGTTTGTGCAAAATCATTCACAAAGACTGAAGAAATCTAATGAAAAACTTCATTTAAGAGCATGTTGTAAAAACTGGGATTCAAAGGGTAACATGGTAACTGTGCTGCAGTCCAATAAATAAATAAATAATTAGCTAATTTACATGTTTCATAATAAAATACATTAGTAATAAGTTCATTGAAGAAGAATGAGTCAATATCTTTTAAATACACAATTAAAACATTTTATTCTTCAGTTCCTTATATGTAAAAATCAAATGTAATTATGTCAGCATTAATTCAGTGACTTCATATATTTACATATATTTAAGCTTCTCTATAGGTTGTAATTGAGACCCTCACATGATTGGTTAACATGCACAGCAGTGCAGACCAATCACCTCGTTTGTCACTGTTTTAGCCCCGCCCACTGACTGATGGTACCTGACCAATAAAATACAGTTTTAATGCAACAGTGCTAAGAAATAATAGATTAACATATTTATAAATAAAATAAATAGATATGACTCATGAATATGATTAACAGTTTTGACATATATTTTTAATACATGACTTAAACATTTGAATAATTATTTATAAATTGTTTAGAAATCCAATCTTTGTGTTTTCAGTTTTATTTAAATGATCATGCATGTAAATATTCTTATAAGGATTTATTTATGTACTGGATTGTGGTCATTTTGGCTTACTGATAGTAGTGCAGGAATGCAAACTCTGCAAATGGACCCGGCTTGTAAAAGTCCAACCAGGCCCAGGTCAGAATTCCTAATGTTGCTTTGCTCTGCTGGAAAGTCTGTGGTGGAAAAACAGTCCTGCATAATTTTCTCTGCTCTACTTCCTGATATACGGGCACTAAGATACGTGTGTGTGTGTGTGGTTTATCAGGAAGCTTTTGCTAAAACTTACACATTCACCTTCCTGGAGATGCAGGATTCATCAATTTGTCCCTGGTGTCGATGCAGCTTCAACTAAAAGCTGAGTTACTGGTTTCCAGTTGATCAAGTTCATCTTTTACCAGTCATTCACCAACGGGAGCTGCAAAATCTGACAAATTCAGCAGAAAATTATTTAAACTTGAAATGTATCTTTACAGCAAAACAATAATAGGAGCCAAAGAGTTTGTACTTCTGAGGTGCCGTGAATGCAGCAGGATCTTCAGTCAAAGTTGGGTGGAGTCCATAGAAGAGAGCAGCCTTCAGTTCCTCACCTGGCATGATGTCGCCATGGTTCAGCGACCCATGCTGCAAAAACTGATACTGCTGAAAGTCACCAAGAATAAAAAGGACATGCAGGGTTTGCGATTTCTTTGCATTGCACCAGTTATACTGACCAACTTGGAAGGTCTCCACTTTCATCTTCAACATGAAGGTTCTGTAGATTTTAATGCATGCAGAAACCAGGTTAGAGAATGAGAAAAAAGAGAAAATGAAGCACAGAATAAAGGAGACAAATTAGGTGCATGTGCAGACCAGACAGGAGTTTTCATTGGAAATGAACCAGAATAGGTTTCCCTGGATACGGCTCTGATAGTCTGCTTGTGTTCTACGCTTCACTGCTTCCCAGTACAGAATCAGACACAGAACTATTGTGACTTCTGAGCAGCTAAGACCATCTTGGGCCTCTCAGATACCAAAAAGCTGTGTAAATACTTGGAGAAAGCTTTGTAGGCTGATTTTCAGCTGGTGCAAAAACATAAGTTGAGCCAAATAAAACAGACAATATTTACAACCTCCGACTGAGGGTGTCATTGTGTGGTCTGTGGGGCCTGAATGTACAATGGAAACAACTATTGTTTTCAACACTTCAATTAAGTTGCAGGAAATTTTGCCTTATGGCTGTAACAGCAAGGTGAGATGGAGAAATGCATGTTTTCAACTTTTTCATTTGAACTGAAAAACCAAAATAAAGGTTTTATATTTGTGTAAAATTTTTGTTATTTAAAACATAGTGAATTAAGCAGCATATCTGCATACTAAACACAACGCTGGACAAAGTTGTCTTTATTTGTAATTATTATCACATTGGTGCAGCAGTTGGTAGCTCTGTTGCCCTTGGAGCAACAAAGTCCTGGGTTCGAATCTCAGCCTGGGGTCTTTCTGCGTGGTTGACGTCTTCTGCCCCTGAATGCATGGGTTCTCTCCGGGTACTCCAGCTTCCTCACACAGTCCAAAAACACAACTGTCAGCTTAATTGGTTTTTAAATTGTCCTTACGTTAGAGCATGCTGTCTGTCCTGTGTGTCTCTGTGTTGTCCTGTGATGGACTGGAGACCTGTGGACACCGCCTCTCACCCAATGACGGCTGAAGATAGAGACCATCATTAACAAACAAGGAGAGCATGGTGCTTGTGATGGCTTTAAATTCATATTTGCTGGTTCTGTGGTGGTTCTGCTCTGGTTTTGGAACCCAAATCAGTTCATTGGACTTTAGTTTATCTGCCCATCAGTCTCACCTCTTCCCCCGGACTTTGACATTTTTAGCTTGATGTTTGTGGTGCTTCCAGTAGATGTTCCTGTTTGCTCAGGAAGGAGAACAGTGATGTTGTCACAACTTGGACTTTCTATCATTACTTCTCCTAATTTCACTTCCTCTGCTCCAAACCTTTGGAGTCAGCTGCTGATCAGAGTGAGGTTCATCCCAGCGCTGGTTTTCTATAGACTGGACCGTCTGGTTTCCATTAATGACAGGTTTTTAACAGATTTCAACATTCACGCTGTCTCTGTGATGCAGATACACTTAGGCTTCCTTCACACTGCAGCTTAAAATCCAACCTGTCTTCCCATTTTTGACCCAAATCTGGTTGTTTTCATGACTGAAAGTCACAGATCAGTGTTCTTCCAAACCAGATCCAGACCACATAGTCATAAATCCGATATGTATCTCAGGTCTTTTTCTCAGCAACATCAGTTTTTTCAGTCATGACCTGAAACCTAAATTAAAACAAAACTTTCTTTAATGTTTGAACATCAGGCCCCACCCCCTCCCTCTCTGCTGTGCTACAGCTGTCTGCTAAGCCCCGCCCCCTCCAGGGGAAGCAGCAGTGATTCAGTCAGGTAAGACATTTCTTCTGGCTCTGAAAAGAAGAGCATTTGACATGTTAGCTTCATGAGTCAAATCTGAAATAATTTAGCTGAAACATTATGTGTAAGAAAAACGTACCGTTTAAAAAGTTCAGCTGTCCAGAATGACAGGCAGGGATTTTAGCTAAAAACAAAAAATCTCAGTATTTTACAGCATATAACTAAATGTTCACAGAATCATTTAAGCTTAGTGTGTAGTTTGTTGTTGTCCAGTGTGGCTATTTTCCGACAATACTGAGCAGCAGCCTGCACATGTGCATAATTCATAAATTGCATATATTTGTGGCAATACATTATACACAATGTGAACTTCTGTGCATTATTGTGCACAGAAGTGCTGGGCTCTGCAGATATTCTGCACTGTGACATGCATAAACATGTATTCAGCACTGATTCAGAGGCAGTAAACACATGACCTGAGGCTGCCCCGCTGTGCATACATGAATAATATGAAATACACTGAAGGTTGTTAGTGTTGATGCACAATAGGTCAGGTTGTTGTGTTGGTACCAGATACTGGGGCGCACTGGGAGCACAATGTTCATGGCATGCTGCCTCCTCATGATTTCCCCCATATTCTGTGTTATATGTATGTATATGTGTATATATATATATATATATATATATATATATACACATATAATCACACACTTAAACTGATCTACAGGTGGTGCTGATAGACATCTACAGTTAGGACTGCAAGGAGGTAGCAGCAGATGTAGAGTGTGAGTAAGTTTACCTGTAAAGCTGAACTCTGATCAGTTTTTGTTCATATTTCAGGCATGTTCTGCGGTCTGGTTACTTCATACATGACGCAGTAAGAGTCTGATAACACATGCTGCTGCCTCAGCTTCTGCTGCAGAACGCTCCTGTTTCTTTAAGGCTGTTGCATCTCGTGAACATTCTGTACTCTCCACTTTCTTGCTCTCTGTTTGGATCCATGTGCCGGACTTTCCAGAGTTTACTTACAGAACCGTCTGTAAACAGGTTGACAGCAGCGTGTTTTCTGTACGCAGCATGTTGTAGGACACGAATCTGCCTCAGAGGTTGGGAAAAGTTCTGGTTTCATCTGATTTCATGGTGTTTGCACAGATTGAAGCCTTTCTGGGTCCATTTTAAGGGACAGACTGTTTGGTGTTGGGTGTAGCGTGTTGCTCCAAAGTTTCAGATCCACATGTATCTGCAGCCTCTTTCTACCCTCTCAAAGTACCTTCAGATGGCTTTAGCTGGAAATTGACACAAAATAAATGAAAGTGCTATGATTCTGCAGATATTTTGGTGTATTATTTAAACATTCTGTTGCTCTTGCTATATTGTCAGCTGAGGTAACTTATTGTCTTCTAATGTTCTGATCCGTGGTTCCAACAAAACGAATGATTTGATTCATTCGTTTTGTTCCTTAAACAGAAAACATGCTTGGTTTACATTTCAGCTCTTATTATTCCAGGTTAGTGAATATAATGTACTGAACTGGATGCATGGAAGTGGGAAAATTTTCAGTGAACTGGGAGATAATCAATGAATTTCATCTGAGTCTGACTGGTTTAATTGGTCTCTTCGTTTCTCTCTGCATGTCAATGAAACCCGATTTAGGAGAATATTTTTGTGAACTTGTTTATCATACCATCAATTAGTTAATTCAACTCAGTTCAGTTCAAAAGTCCTTTGTTTATGCCAGGAGGGTGTTTCTTCAAACAGTGATTGTAGATGGTGATGCTGTGGGCTGGAAGGATCTCCATGTTTCGGTATCATTTATGAATCTGGGAGAATCTCTATCATTTTACTTCCTTTAAATGTCACCAAACAAGATTTTACATAATTAATTATTTACTGTAGAAAAATTTCAATAGAATGTGCCTTTATTTTATCATATTGGGAAATATATTTAGGGACAACATTAAAAATGCTGATGTTTCACCTTGTCTGTTTTTTTAAGGGTTATTGTCATGATGTAGGGTTGTTTGGTTTTTGGTTTCGGGGTTTTTCCTTATGTTTTTAACTGTTCAAGTTTTGAATCATGCTTCTGTTATTTTCCTGGTCATGCTTTAGTTTTGTCGTCTTGTTCATGTTTTGTCAAGTTTGGTTTTCGGATCTGGTTATGCTTTAGCTTCATGTTTTTCTAGTT